ATGGTCTATATGATAGAGCATTCAATTCTGAATCGAATGATATGGTAGTTCTCTGTCGGCTATGGAGTGGACATTGCAACGTACTCTTTGGAAGTCTGTCACAGTGGTGACCATGCATCATTTGATATTTTTCACGTGGTGAGAATCATGGCGCAGAAAGAAGGCATGGTCTATATGATAGAGCATTCAATTCTGAATCGAATGATATGGTAGCTGTCTCTCGGCTATAAGGTGGACACTTAAAGGGACCCTTAGGAATTGTGTGACAAATACTGAGCATGTATCATCTGCTATTTTTGTTGTGGTGAGAGTCAAGGGGAAGAAAGAGAAGTAGGTATTGAGCGGAATTGTAGTTTCCACTGCTGACGGTGTACACTTTCAGAGCATGTTGCGTTGTTAATATATGAATGATCGTAGTGGAGATATAGTATGGGAGATGCATCCACTTCTGATGGCTGTGGTCACTGATAGAACGGTTTGTGTGCATCTAAAGAAGGAGTGGAATGTGAAGTAAATGATGATTTACTCTAGTCTAGGTATTACATGAAGACAACGAAAGAGTTGATTTTCTTTGAAGCAGGAGGTGGGATGATTATCCAGCTGTGGTTGGTCTTAGTTCATTGTGTGAGTGACACAGAATTGAATATTTCGTTTACAGTTTTGGTTTTGAACACTTGGTAGCTCTTATAGTGTTTGTTTTTAAAGAGCATTTGGTGGTAACTAAGGATTAACTATCGGTATTTGCTGGATCGTGTTAGGTATTTTATGGGTTGTTTTATGATTGGTTAATTTAATGATGAATACGATTGGTCGTCGTGGTAGCTTCACATCGATTCTGGAATAATAGAAATATGGCAAAAGATTCTTTGTTTTCTTACTTTTTTTTCTATTCTATTCAAGTTTTCACTTTTTTTTCTTCTTGTTGTTTATTTTTTCGTTATTTTTTTTCTCTTTTTCGATGTGTTTAACACGTTTTATCGAAAAAAGAAAAAAGTTTTTACGATTGTTTATAACAAACGCTAACTATAGATCATGGGATAACGATAAGATGACACAGAGGAACATGAAAAAAAAGATGCAGAAAAAGATCGACTGCAATAATACCAAATAAAGAGAAAAATGAAGACAAAATGAAAGAAAATGTTACTGAAATCAAGAAGAGAGTAAGAGTATAAATGACTTTTAAAAAAAAAGAAATTTGTCTATTCTCTATCTGATGTCCACAATACGAAGCACAACACACAACAAGAAAGAATAATAGATCTTTTAACAGTTCATAAAAAATAAAAATAAAATTTTGTTTTATGTTTTTCGACCAGTTTTAGTTTATGTTCATGGTTAGATGATTGGTCCCTCGTGGGTTGTGTATAAATTCATTCCAATGGGACGTGTTTGACTAGTATTTTAATAATGATTATCATTAATACGTGATCGATTCTGTTTACCCTTGAACATCCCAGGGCGAAACTACCCAGCAGAATCTTGACGGATCCCTGCATAATCCGATGTCGTCCGACAACCAGATCCAGTCGGATGCAGACTGTCGGAATCCCCATTATATCTCTTGATTTCCGACGTTTTCCAACAGTCGGATTCTCCAGGATTCCGATGATATCCAATAGTCAGAAATTGTCATATCCAATGAAAACCGATGACATCTGATAGTCGGAAATCGTTGGATCCGATGATATGAAAACATCTATTTTTGTCTATTCTAATTTGCAGAATGTATCTGAAATATATTTTGAACTAGAAAAATCAGATGAGAGTATCATACTCAATACAAAATAATACGTCTATTTTTACGTATTATTAAATCGACTCTTTAAAGTAAGTCCTTATAAAGTTGTTCATTATTATTGCTTTTGTTACTCAGAGCTATACAGAACAAATATATCTTAAATAATTGAATTTTTTTTTTCTTTATTTTAGATCAATTTCAACATCGAAAAGGAACCGTAAGTATTTTATTTAATTAAATCAATTTTTTTATTTTAGGTCAATTCGAACATGAAAATGGAACAGTAAGTATCTTATTTAATTAAATAATTTTTTTTCTTCATTTTAGATCAATTTGCACGTCGAGATGGAACCGTACGTATTTTATTTAATTAAAACAATTTTTTTCGTTATTTTAGATCAATTTGAACATGAAAATTGAACAGTAAGTATCTTATTTAATTAAATAATTTTTTTTCTTTATTTTAGGTCAGTTTCAATATCAAAATCGAACCGTAAGTATCTTATGTAATTAAATAAAATTTTTTTCATTTTAGGTAGTGGTGCAACAAATCCTGTTTATCTGCATAGATATTGTAAATTTTTGGTATGAAACTCTCCCAAATCTAACCGTATCTTCGTGTCAATAATAACCAGTTTTATTCGCTCTATCTGATACTTATATTTATTTATCAGTATCAGATAGAGCGAATAAAATTGGCTATAAATGACACGAAGATTTGGAAAAGTTTCTCATACCGAAAATTTACAATTTTTATGCAAATAAACAGGATTTGTTGCAACTCTATCACTATTAGGTTTGGCTATAGGATTCCGTCGGATTCTACACTTTCCGACATCTTCCGACTGTCGAATCCGGTTGTCGGATTCCCGTTGGAATTTATCGGATTAAGCCAGATTTTCGACAGGATCCGAAACCAGGATTACTCGTCATGGGATAAGACATAATGGATATAACATAATCACAGTAGCGAACAACGTTCCAGAAATACCAAAAAGTGTATAAAGTAAATTTTTACTTCTAGAAACAAAAATTGCTGCTATGGCAAAACCAACACCAATAATGCCAATGACAAACATGACAATTGCGATTATGGTTGATGTTTTCATACTATTAAAAAATAAATAAATTATCTTCTTAAATTAGATTAATATATCGAACTTTATTTGTTTATATCCACTTGCTGATTTCGTCGTTTGAATATATAAACATGTTGTCGAGACAAATATATGAGAATGAAAGAAAGTGATTATGTTTATTATTCTTTCTTTTTCTATTCACGTAAATATACGAGAAATTCATCACCAACACGTTTTCACAGCTTGGTCCATCATAGAAAAAGAGAAAAAAAAGTACCGTCCGTATGCATTGAAATCGAATAAAATAGAGTTAATGTTCGTTTTCGACTGAATCGAAAGAATCTTTTCTGATTTGAAAAGAAGAAGAGTCTGATATTTTTATTTTATTTGCAATAGATAATATGTTCAAATACAACGAAAAGATTTTTGTTTCGATATTTTTAACATTAGCACTTTGTACTTTTAACAAAGAATAGATTATATTTGCACAGATTGATAATCAATGTTGTTCGAAACTATTATTATCATTAGATTTTAACAAGTAAAAGTTGAATATTCATTGATCAAAATAAGAATCTTGTCATATCTACATCCATATTAATCCTATAACAATTCCAACTTTTAAACTGTTGATGAGGACTTTTAGAACACTTTTTTTATGTAACGGCATAAGAGATATTGTTTGATCATCAGACAAATAGAATCAAATGAAGTTATTCATATGTATCACCTCGTTTAATCTAAAATCCTAATTTTAACTCTGCATTCGATATTGTTATATTCACATGTCTCAACTTTGAGAGTTATTTTCTAAAAACTATTTTCTTTTATCTAACAATGGCTGGATTAAATGAGTAATGAAAAAGTAATGATGATTAAACCAACACATAAGAAAGTATGCATGAGAATATCGAGCACACGTCTGATAGGCCATAACATGATTTTTGTAACATCCAATTTTTTTCTTTCATTCGATTCTACGTGAAAAACTGGGTTGACGAAATTTATTTTTACACTTTTATACTCTTCCTTCGCGGGGTTATTAGTATTTCAATTGAACCACCCTTCAAAATTGCGAAAAAAAAACGAAATTTCAGTATTTTTCATATTGTAAAGTCATGTTACATCGTACAAGGTCGTGAAACATCTCATTCGAAAGAGCATGAAAATCTGCATCGAATGATATATCTCATCTTTTTAAATTGTTCCATTTTTTTATCAAAAATTTTTGAGTATTCCTATTTTTTTATGGTCGTTTTAAAACTAACCATGAATTGTATTACGGATTCTTATAATGCATTTAATTCTGCACGAGGTGAGGTAACTTTCAACGTTTCAAATGGGGATCAACAGCTCGAAAATTGCAAAACAATGTTAGAGTGTAATAATTTTAAAGAACAAGTGCCGGCTTCTCTCTTTTTCGTTTCAGATTTCATTTGTATATTAATCAGGATAATCCATTGAGTCTTTCTGCCAATTCAAAACTTCGAAATTTTACTTTTCGATTTTTTGTACTTGACATCCTCTCCAGGAATTGAAAAATTTGGGTGTGGATGTGGATGGGGTGTAGGTGCAGGTGGGTGTGGATGTGGGGATGGATTTGGATCGTCATGAAGATCAACACCCACACCCACACCCTCACACACACACCCAATCAGCCTCTGCATTTTTGATACAATGACGTAGGACTCGAATAAGAGAATATACTCAATTGTTCACTCCTGAACACAATCTTGGATTAGTGACAATATTCCTTTAGAAAAACTGATAAAAATATAGCTGCTCAATCAGTGTTGTCTCTATTTTCGAGTAACTCAATACTAAGATAGATTGTTTCGTTGTAGTAGTAAATAAAAAGACAGACGTAACAATAAGAGAACTTCGAAAAATGAAAATTACATCGAACAATGTTTTCTTTTCAAGGCATTTTCTCATATCGGAAACGTTGCAGCCAAAGATTTTTCCATAGTTGAAACATCGATCGTATGAAAATCTTTACTAAAGCGAAGTCGATTTTCTCACATACTACTACAGCATACACTGGAATTATATTTCATCATGTACACGCATAATATTGCACAATTACTCCTGTTCGCCATGTTGTTAACGGAGTTCTTTGTTCTTTTTTTTCACCATTTCGATAACTTGTTTTTACGACAACCACATATTGGTTATCGAATTAACCAATGTAGACAAAGAGAAAAAGTTGGAGGAAGAAGAAGAAGAAGAATGTCATTCTTTCAAAACAAATCTAGAACATTCTATGTAATCAGTAACGTGTCCTGAGTCACTACAAGTAAAATAAAACTTTCTCAACAACAATTAATAGTCATTGTGTATCGCACTGTTGCAGAGTCCAATTTGTATGTACGAACTATGTAGAGTATGCTAAAAATTTTTGAAGATTTATTAAATAATATTCTTCATTCTATCCGAATCTCAGTCTAACCTTCAATAGATGGATGACTTAGCATGTTAAAATAAAATTATGTTTACCCAATGTTGAATTTCCAACATCAGAGCCGAGAAGTAATGTTAGATAAATAAAACTATTATGCATAAAATTAAAAGAAACTTGATGTAGATATGAAAGCTTTTATTGATTTTGTTTGATATTGCGTTCTAAATTTTAGACTGTAATTTGTCTCTTCATCATCGTACGAAAAAAAAAGTAAAAATCGGCGACATTATCTTGATCCACAAACGTAAGTTGATTTCAAATAAGAATAGTTTTATCTAGTACAAGTGATTGGCTTCGAAAAAACAAATGGTTAGGATTTTCTAATTGTTTTCTCATAATTTTGATGAAATTGATATCTAAATAGTTATTAAAATATCCTATTAAACGAGAAAAAAAAGCTAAATCCTTAAAAATGAATTATTTCACTAACTTTTTGAATAGCATTTTCATGAAGATATACATTCAAAGATGCGCTGGAACAGCACGAACCTATGAGTTCAACGTCGAGCTCTCTACTACTGTTAAACAACTTAAGCAATATCTTTCTAAGAAGACTGGTGATAATGAAGAAGATTTACAAGATATGTTATTGACTTTTGATAAAGATGTACTTGATGAAGATGAGCAAACGCTATCGTCTTATGGTATAGAAGAAGGATCTCAGCTAGAAGTACAATATTCTGATATGACAATTCGTGATATCGGTTCTTTAGGATTAAGATTCGTCGATGTTAACAATTGTCAAGGTTTACAACGACGTGAATGGTCCGAAACAGCTCCGCCCTGGCGAAGAACTAGATGTGGTTTATGTCTTGAAGGTAAATGTACTAATTCTCAATGCAAAGCTTACAATAAGACTGTTATTATGCCTATTGGTTACAAGAAATTCGATGTTCTGCTCGATTGCGATGAGACAACAACCATATGTCCGATATGTAAAACCTTCGTTCAACCTTCTAGCTGTGGTTTTAATAATTGTTGGTGGAGATTCGAAGGACGAAAACAGGAAGCAAATAGTAATGGTAGGCCACCTAAGAAATGTTCCAGCAATTGGAGTCAAGTAGATGATGCATATCATTATTTTGATGAGCTACAGAGTGGAACAGTGACATGGTTGCAACTTATAGTTGAAGCTGTCAAAAATAAACCTGCATAATGACTTGTTTACTATTCGATTTACTGATTGTGTGTCAATGATGGCGAGAACCATTCGATGGCACTGTTAGATTCTAACAAAACGAGTGCTTATTTTTCCGAGAAAAATAAATGTTACATTATTAATCAAACTCTTTTTTTAATAAAAAAGAATACAAACATGAAAAAATTTGTTTTCTTATGTTGCTCAGAATCCTTTGTTCTACCATATGAGTTTTTGACACGTAATTCGGTAAAGACTAGATGAATATCCAAAACAATTCATTGAAGGAGTTGCCAATATCCATTCGAGTCAATATTTAAACAAAGTATCGTATAGGCTCTAAATAGAAATGGATCGGTTGCAAGAACATGCGCATGAATCTTGAAGTATCGCACATTGACACAGATACAGTTGCTACAAAGATGAAATCCTTTCGAATTTGGAGTCAGATAAAATCAGATCTAGACGTATGGGTTACCAACAAGCTAACATTACAGATGGAAATAATAGGTCTTCAAACAGAAAATCGACGTGCAAAACATATGGTCTTCAACTTTGTTTATTTGTTCCATTATGAAGCAGATCACAGGTATGTATGAAACAGAACACAATAACGACGTCTATGACAACTTAAGAAGTGCATTCGATCGATATATAACTATGCATTTGTCTCAGTATGAACGATAAGTGCAAAGACTAACAGGAGAATACTATCGACAAAATAGAATTGATAAAGAAAGATACGATGAAAAATAGAGACAGTATCGAATATGGAGTTGAAAATGAGAAACTGGAGAATTCTTCAACCGACTTTACTTCTCGTCTACATTCAGTCACCCTTGTGAGTTCTCGTGATTACAGTTTAGAAGTGCTTTTAAATATATGCTGACGTCTAGAGTTCTCGAGACAGTACTCAACTCTTTTTTATGAATCAATCTATTCGTCTTGAGCGTGAGAATGCATTGATTAAATGCGATTACAGGGGTACAACGATTTTGAAAGCAGAATTCGCACACTGACTAATGCACCATCATAATTTCTGACTGAGTATCCGTTCTTATAGTGGATAGGATTCACTCGAACGATGCGAAAATAGAATTCCAAAGACATGATTGTATGAAATCAACATTAATTGATCATAACGAAAAAAAAAGCTTGACTGGTTCAGTCATATTTGAAATTGGAATTGATCATTACTTCATTGACATTTTGCACACGATTCAATTTATTATTCTAAATAATTTGTCTCATCAAAAGATCAATTGTTGGTATGCATAACTCAAGAAATTCTCTAGTACGAGACGTCTTGTCAATCGCAATCAATCAGAATAAATTTGGAAAGTTCGACGATAGCATGATAACAAACGAATCACTAACATGACCTGTCGGAGCCAACAATGTTGATATTCAAAAAGGCACATCGGCATCGTCTTTCTTCCAAAAATGTCTATCGAAAATTGGATAAGATGGGAGAAATTCAAGATTTTGGTAGGACGGAGAAAGATCACTAAGATGATGAAGATTACATGCAACATGCACAATAAGATGCAAGAAACTCGTTGCAAGTACATATTCATCACTACGAATGAGACAAATCATTTTGATGTGCAAAAGTGATTCAGCATCAGACTTGTATTGTAAAAAAACCAATGAATGATTCACATTTTATTGGACATAAATCACCACAGATAGTGTTCATCCTTGATAGAAGCAAACGGAATTGGATAATTCGATGATTTAATAAGGTATTGCTTAGTGACGATGAGAATATGGCTGGCTAAAATCGACTAGATTGACAATACACTACTGAAAGCTCGTTTTAATCGACCGACGTCGATGGGAGGATACACAAAAACATGATTACCATCATTAAAGATAATATCTACATCATTAAGAACAATGCGACGCTTTTTTCATCTCGCAGAACTGTAATGACATATGACTTTGTGCTCTTACATTATTCTCTTAGGAGAGGGTGTCAGTGTGAGTGTCAATATTTTCATCAATCACAGCCACTCTCATATTGCCATCCACATTCTATAACTTTTGTTCGCTTATCATAAGCTCCTTCTCTAGGTATGTCATACGAGTGTAAGTCGTCAACAAAAAAAATTGCTACACATGAACGATCACAGGCAAATTTTGAAAGTTTATAGGATTCATCGTCAGATAGGTCTTAAATATTACAGGAGCTACTCTTAGATATGCCTTGGAAAGTTTTAGGTGCCTGCCCGAAGTAACTTCCGAAAAGTCGCAAATAACTTATCAATTACAGGTCCATCAGTTCCAAGAACTGATCTCATCTGTTCGAAGTTTAAAGGATTCAGTTCTTATCAAAAGAACTGAATCAAACAGATCATTGATTATCCCTCTAACGATCAATCAGAGTAATTAAAGTAGGACCTAAATGTTTGAGAAAGCGGTTAAACGTCGAAAGTAAGAATTTCGAAATCTGTGAGCATGGAGTGTGTCTGTGTGGATGTGGTTGTAGCCTTGGCGTTGGCTACGGTTTTGGCTGTCTGTGAAGAAGAGACCAACATCCGTACCCACCGACACACACTACACATCCATACCCTCAGTCTTTAACATGTGGCTGTTTACACTCGTATATGAATATAGTGCCTTGATAAGATCGTCGACATCAGTTTAATATTAAACTGACTTTGTTCGTAATGTCTATTTATCTTTAGAAAAAATGAGTCATATTTTCTACAGAATTATCTATAGAAATTTAAAGGTAGAAAGAGGACAGTTTAATTTCTTATCTAATTGTTAACATATAAATATTAGTGCGGTAGACAACAAAAAGACGTATTCGCGAAAAACTCGTAATTTACATTCTGTACTCATAACCAAATTCTCTGCAGAACAAATCAATAGAAAACTTATCAAAAAGACAACCAATAATTAACGTCGATACTCCATCTGTAGGAATCGCTCTGCATATCCGGCCATCTATTCCATATCAGAATCACAACTTAAACCACAAGAGAGTTGTTTGAATTCAATACATTGACAAAAAAATCATTATCATTTGCAATTGACAGTATGGTATTGCGTGCAGTAAATATTTGGTTACACATCGGCTTTTTTTCAATATTCTATTCTGCTTACATCGGCATCCATGGTTTTAAATGTAAACCTTCATATACTTCACGGCAAGATATTCCTATGTGTTCTCGGACATTGCAATCTTCATCAAAAATACGTCTGCAAGACAGCTACGATGTGATTGTGATTGGCGCAGGTGCCACTGGCTGTATTGTCAGTGCCAAGCTTGCAACTGCTCTAGGCATGAAAGTACTACTTGTTGAAGCTGGTGTTGAGACGGGAAATAATGACAATAATAACATTACTGACCCAGCTCTATGGCTTAATGTATTACATAATGACACATTATAATGGCATTTCCGTACTGTGGCCCAAAAGGCATTGAATGATAGAATCATTGACTTAGGATTTGCAAAAGGTACGGGAGGAAGTGCAATGCATAATGCGATGGGATATGTCAGAGGAGGACAAAAGTGGTAAGTATAACGACAACTGATTCCACGGTCTAGCCATCTGTTTCAAAAATTTTGAAAGAGAAAACTGTTTAAATGCAATGTTATCGTTCGAAAAAGTAGAATCGTTTTTGTCTATGTCGAATTTCAAAACTTCGATTTCTGTTTACGTAGGTAAAGTTAGCCCCATATTCGAGTTTTTTGTGTCCAGATTCGTTTTTGGACTTGGTTTGACTCTCTACTTGGTTGGGTTATACGCAAAATTAAATTCTGCATCGAATGATGCCATTTTCGACTAAGGTCATTGAGCAAAAATCTCATTTATACTCCAAATACTAACTTTTTTAGAGACTTTTCCAAAAGTATTTCGCGTCCAGATTCGCTCTCTCATTTGGGTTAGCTCTACAAATGGTTGGGTTGCGTTCAGAATTTAATTTTGCGTCGAATGGTACTAATTTCGACTAGGGTTGTCGGGCAAAACCACTAGATGACGATAACAGTGTCAGGTCGAAATTTCTGGTCCCCGTTCACCCGCACCTTTGGATTTTACCGACAACCCTAGTCGAAATTAGTACTATTCGACGCAGAATTAAATTCTGAACTCAACCCAACCATTTGTAGAGCTTACCTAAGCGAGAGAGCGAATCCGGAGGCGAAATACTTTTGGAGAAGTCTCCAAAAAAGTTAGTATTTGGAGTATAGAATGAGATTTTTGCTCAATGATCCCAGTTGAAAATGACATCATTCGATGTAGAATTTAATTCTACATATAACCCAACCAAGTAGAGAGTCAACCCAAATCCAAAAACGAATTCGGACACAAAAAAACTCGAATATGGCGCTAACTTTACCTACGTCATCACGACGGTTGTCTACACATGATTTGAAAAGAGAAGTATGAAACTCTGTAACCTTTCATTAGATCATTTAACAAATTTCTTGGCAACTCAACGAGTAGGTAACACTCTCTTTCTGTCTAGGATGGATGCTTGGGAGTCAGATGAAGGCGTTGTGAACTAGAATTCTAAAACATTGATACCATATTTTGATGCTGTAGAAGACATTTTGAAAGTTGTTTATCCTGCCAATGACCCGCAAGGATTGGTTGATGCAATCTTTCAAGCTTCGAGAACAGCAGGATTTCCATATAATCCGTCTTAAAATCATGGACCAGATATGCTCGGTATTGCCAATTTTGTTATGAGTATCAATGATGTTGGCAAGGAAATGAAGCAGCAAATAAATTCAGTCTACAACCGAGTTACATCATATGAGAAATATCTTCAAACAGTTTGGCCAGCCAATTTACAAATGATTACTGGTCTCCAAGCCATTGGCTTCAACTTTAGCAGTGATTAGCTTCCTGTAGTAGATCATCTTGAACTATACAGCGAAAAACATCAGTGTAAATTCTCGATCGCAGTTGGTAAAGAACTCATTCTGAGTGCTGGAACGATTAATTCACCCAAACTTCTCCAAATCAGTGGTATTGGTAATGCTACTCAATTACAGTCGTTAGGTATCGAAATCGTAAAAGATCTTCCAGGTGTTGGTATCAATTTACGTGATGATGTAGTTGTGAATTTGGTTTATACAACGGATGTCATTGAAATAGAAAGTCCACCTGCTTCCTTCCTGAGCGCAGTCTTATTTGCAGTGGATAATAGTACAACACAACAAGTATCTTATAGAAATGGAACAGGCTCTCTAACAAACATTGAAATGCTATTTAGTACAGGAAATATGATCGGAAATTCGTGGCCAGCCGATTGGCAGAACTCATTAGTTTTATCACCCAATATTCAACAATGTAAATCACAGGGTACAGTTATGATACAGAATTCAAACCCCTTGGCATCACCAGCAATTGACCCTGCCTATCTGAGTGTTGACTTAGATTTTGATCGGGTGATAAACTCAATCTTGCTAGGTCGACAACTTATGTCACAACCAAGTTTTTCGAAATGGAATTTTCAAGAAGTTTCACCTGGTCCTACTTATCAAACTCGTGACGAACTTATTGAATGGATTCGTGAATATGCTACTACAGGATTTCACTACATTGGTACGTGTAAGATGGGAACAGATTCCTTGTCTGTCGTCAATACAATCAATATGAAAGTTTGGGGAGTTGAACGTTTGAGAATTATTGATGCATCTGTAGCTCCATCTTCGTTCTCAGCCAATACGCAATCGTTGACATATGTAGTGGCAGCACGAGCAGCTGATCTCATTGTGGCAGAGTATAAAATGAAACAGAAATCTGCTCACTAACATAGCATAGATCAGTCGCTTTGATAATTTCTTGTAATCCACCAATGCAAATACAAAATATAACATTTATTTCAAAATGAAATAATTTTTCGGTTTTAAATTTTAGCTTTGTGATTATAGAGACTCAAAAATCAGGCTTGGAACTAGTTGAATTTTTTTTAAACATAACTAGACCGATCGGTTGAAATTCTTAGCTTAGCTAGCAGAAAGTGAGGAAAAAGTCGGCCAATAAACATTCTAATTCTCTTGAGAAGAAGTTTATCTGAACAGTTCCACGAAGACAAACGATGTAAAACTCCTCGTATGACTACTGGAGTGTCTAATAGTAACAACTTCTTTATTAGTTTGTTGCGTTTTATATACGCTAATACTAAGAACGAAAGAAAAATCTTTCAAAACTCTTCACCTACTAACTCACAACATCTATGTTTTGTTTTGCCTGGTTTGCTTATTGGAAATCATAATTTAGCACTACTGAAAGGCTTCTCAATTTCGTATAAGCCTACTACTTCCAATAAGAAGACAAAATGAGCTATAAAGTTCGACTTTTATACTAGGTCTCATAGTTTTTAGTTCTCATAATACTTCGATATTGTTGTGATTACATGCGGTAACAATCAATAGGACTTTCACAACAAAATGGAATATTTTCTGATACAAAAAAGCTTGTTAGCGCAGCTTCTTCAGAGCTGAAATGTGGAACTCACATATATCCTTAAACCTTAATATTCTAGTACATCATATGTAAACTGAAACATTTCGTGTACACTGTAGTTGTTTTCATTGATAATCAATGACAAGAGCAAGACTTTGTTATTTATTTCTACATTTAAAACAGAAGTTTTTTTTTGTTTGAGAGCGCCCTATTTTTATTTTACATTCTTGTTATTCGTTGATTATCTTGCGTTTTTTTTTAATTTAATATTCTTATTATTATAATCATTGAATTAATTGGTAAGTATGTCTGTTCTACATATCCATTATATCTACAGCAGATCTTATGCACTATTACATATATTAATCAACTCACAAGCAATGGTGTTGATTATCTTTCAAAATTATAACGTGATCAATTCTTCAAAAAAATTAGAAAGTCTGACGCCTGTTATTCTTAATTGCTAAGGTCTATAATGGGATGGGATGGGGGGCAGGGAAGCCGCCAAATCTAGAACTTAAAACTTCTACTCACTATTTTCTTCGAAAATATATGTGAGTTCCACAAAAAGTTGTGTGCTCTTATATGACACAATTTCTTCAGATTTTGACTTTTCGTTGAATTTCGATGTCACATCTTAAAAAACGAATTCGTCAATTCAATATTTGATGGATGAATCTATCTCAAGTATAATTGATTAATTCCTTCTGACTCGATGTCTAATCAAGATGTAGTCTATTGTAATATGAAAGCTTAAAACAACTATTTATTTTAATTAATAAAGGTGTATTCAGATTTTTTTTCGTCCTATTGAATATTGAAAAACATAATATGTCAATAGTTTGTTATCAAATAAATTAAAATATATTAGCCATGAATGGATTACATGTCTTTTGTTTAAGTGTGGGCAAATATTTGCAATTAAGATGATGAATATTTTTCATCAATATTGATTTACACCTATGAATGGATTTAAATGTATGCACTGACAGAAGCACTACTATTTAATTTAATAGTCAAAAATAACATATATGTTTTCGTCCATGGTAGCCAACCATGAACAGAATTCTATATAGGGTAAGTGTAGTTATTATTCGAAAAAATAGCAAACTCATCTAATTTACATGAAATATTCATAGTCATATCTCGCATTTGACCTGGTTAAGTCGTTTAATCTTTCAGACATAACATTAATTAACGTTGCAGTCGTCCTGCTGTCCAGTACTATCACAGAACGACTACTCAGGCAGACAAGGACATATTTTAACGCTTAAAAACGCGTTAAAATATGCACTCTTTTCACTGAAAGAAACGATTTTTATTTTTGAAAACGTGAAAAGCATATATTTTATTTCATTACTTGCCAATTAATTTTTAAAAAATCCCAAAAAAGTGAATGCCATATGTTGCATTGTTCTATCTCAAGGTTCAACTTAATTTTTTTTTCATGATTTTGATTTGGTACTAGCAAACAAGGTATGCATAAGGAACGATCAAAATGAGATGTATTCAACTCTCTTAATGCATTATGAATACAGTTTCGGTCGTGTTAAGGCTTAGATGTCAGTTACGAGATTTTGAATGAGAAAATTATGACTTGTCATAGATTCTTACAGAAATCATAATCCTCTAAATCTGATGTAACATTTGAAGAAAAATGTCTTATTGCGTCATTAGCAACTCAAAGGAGAGTTTTGAGTTTATGTTCATTTCAGAGAGATGGATAACATACTATTCTACTTTTTCTTTTCAATTGGTTAGAAAACATTCTATTCATCTTCTTATATTTGCTTGTATCTCACGTTTTAATAAAGAAACGCTCGATTGTCAACACATTATATACTTTGTACAATGAACGAAATATCGATGCTATTATTACTATAGAGCATAAGCTGATTAACTAAATCATACTTGTTCCGCAGTATCTATGAAGTAAAATTATGATATCTCATTATAGTGATCTCTTTGTAGCATCAACTAATTTTTGATGCCAGAGTTTGGATAGAATTATAGTAAAGAACAATACTTTTATTTGCATCATTCCGGTATCCCACTCCGCCTCTTTTTCCTACTTTTTCTCTTCTTCTCACGAAAAAGTAGCTTGCTGCTGGCGAAAACATCCATGAATATATTGATTAATATTACCATATCATATGAAAAGATCACATCCTACAAACTGATGTGCCGATCAGTCGAGGTATATAGCTAAGGAGGCTGAATTATATGAATTTATTGGTCAATTTCAGCGATATTATATGTCCCTAATTGGGACCTAATTTTTATAGCTCTCTAGTGGAGGCAAAATTACTCAATTATATTTTCAATGTGAACTCATCATTCTCTCACAATCTTGGTAAGCTTTTCTGGTAAAGATCGACATGTAAAATGATAATATCAGCTTGCTTTTGTTGATCATTTTTCTCAGCTTCAGGGAAGCTTGTGATCTGAATCTAACAATGGATAGCTGACTCATAGCGTAATGCATGCGTCAAAATGAGAAGAAGTTTCTAGGGTGGCCAGATCTATCCTAGAGTTCTGTTAGACTCGATAGGATTTCTTCGAGAAGATAGCTTCTGATAGTATGATATCGTAAGTTAATGATTATAGATGCCGTGGTATGTTGCTAGATTATCTTACGCTATTGATTTACTGTTAAAATGAAGTAATTCCTCTCCCTCCGAGTTTCTCCATATATAATCACATTCTGGACGATCGTATATCTCTAAACCATACACGGAGAAATAAAATCGTATACGACGAAATACAGAGTAAAACAAAAGTCGTAGATGAGCTTTGTTTGTCCATAAATGATCATATTTCTGCGCATACGATCATGGAGTTATACGATCGCAATACTGGACGATGTGAAACGTCGTATTTCTCCGATTACAAACGTGTTTGCTTGACATGAGTTAATATTGACAACGGTTTTATGATACTTTGAAGAAATCGGATATGGTGGAATGCGATAGCAACAAATAGGGGCGCCCCACTGACCAAAAAGCAAAGGATCATACAATCTACCCAATACAAATAAATCGTTTTCTATAAAACACAGGAAGGTGGCCATATTTCACTGGGAAAAATCAAGCGTTTTCGATAGCACGGGGTTAAATGATTTCTCACAAACTCGCTGTCTGGGTACCATTGCAACCAGTGTATTAATTTATGCTAGGAAACGGAAGAGTGAAACTGACTTGTGAAAAATGATCGAAATCATGAAAGAATTGGTGAAAATTGAAAAAAACGAAAAAATACTTTTCTCACATACATAGTCATCCGAAAAAAGAACAAAAAGCAGAAAAAAACACAGTTAATGAATTCTGATCGTTTCTATTTCTGTGTGGCTACTTAGTCAGATAGGGTAATATTATAATCAATTTTTCTAATGTTTTCCCATTTTCTAATACATATATAAGCAATTGCACAAAAATCTCTATAAGTAATTGGAAATTTCGTTTCTTTTTTACTCTTTCAAATCATATTCAATCTATATTGATAATGTACGAGTTTTGTCGGATTTATAGTACTATTGTGCCAGTGAGTTTTAGTTTTCTTCGGACGAAATTGTATGTCTCTTTTTCTCTTCTTTTTTTTTTTATTAAAAATCCTCGTTTTTCCTCTTTTTTTTACAAAGTGTTGGGGAGATGCCAGGCATCATTGCAAAATCATTCTCATACGATTTGGCCTCAATTCCATTTTCCGATCCTATTAAAATGAAATGTAATATTTCATCTACTTTTTGTATTGCTGAGGAAAGATTCTTACAACTGAACATTGCTTTGCCCAAAATGAATACAAATAAAATTCTATTCTCAACTCTAATACATACAAAACTAATCAGATAATTTTGCCTATTAAAATTTACTAAAACAATCAGTGTCAGCAAATATCATAGTAGAGACTTGTTCCACTATGTCACACATCCTCTGTTAAACATTGTCAGTTTTTCGTGTTGAAAATTTATATTTGCTATTTATTTTCAGAATCTTTTCAGAATATATTTCATCTTACTTCTTAATATTTGTTTCATTAATTAAATAGTTTCAAATTTGATGATAAAGTCAACTTATTCCAGTCATACACATAGACCCTAGCAATTAGGAAGGATGGAGAAAGGCTAAAGATCATTTGGCATGTTTTCCTAGCAACCAAGGACAACGGAGATCATACTCCTTTCTCAGAGTTTGTTAGCAACGCAAAAGAAGTGCTGAACGGCATTAACAACAACACTTATACTGTCCTAGAAAACTCTAAAACATTCTAAGCCTTATCCCGAAATTTGAATAGATGAAATGCGTTTGTGAATGTTCTAAACAGTGCAGTTTGTTTTTATTTTTACGCAAATAAAAAATTCATATTCGGGACGTCAATAATGATGTATTGATTTGCCGCAGTCATCATATCATCGACATAAAAAAAAAACGTTAGCTGATCAAGTTATAACTTTAGAAAATAATCAAAGCTTATTTGCCAGTTAAATTATTCGATTAATCTTGAAAAACAATTATAGTCTGCAAGGCAGTTTTCATCTAACATATTTTTATTGTGTATTAGTATAATGAGGCTAAAGAACACATTTGAGTTCCACATTTTAGCTCCGCAGAGGCTACGCTGACACATATATGTTTTTAAAGAAACACACAAAGAAATGAATATTTCTCATTCATCATCGTGCGTTGTCACTAAACTTCATCCTACATATACATGCATTCTCTTCCTTATTCCCTTCACTTGACAATGCAATATCTATATATAATGAGAGAAACATGCTCATATAGCTAGTAGAATAATTTATTGCTTTTCTGCAATGAAAATAGCACGATTTTTTATGAACTAATACGATAAAATTCAATATGAGCATTTTTCTGACAATATTTATTTTATTCAAAAAGATACTGATATGCTAAAAAATGTATGCAATACAACTGATAATGTCTGTTTTTATATTTTAAAGATAAGTTTTTAGAAGTATGTTGTCATTGGCATACAGCATATTATGTTGGACTATTCGTTTGATGACATATCAAATAATAGTAATCAATAGCAACAATATTATTATCAAACAAACAGCAAGATCAGGTCCTGCTTCTGCTAAAAATCCTTTATTATTTGATCATATATTCATATTAGTCATGGAAAACAATGACTATAAGGAAACATTAAATTCTCCTGCTTGGCAACCTATTATTCAAAGTTCTGCTTGGTTTACTAATATGTATGCGATTACTCATCCATCTCAACCAAATTATATTGCTATGATTGCTGGTTCCACATTAAATCACAAGGACAATAATTATTTTTCAACAAATGAATTGACAATTATTGATTTATTAAATAGAGCTCAAGTTAGTTGGAAAAGTTATCAGGAAAATTATACATCACTTTCTACAACGACAAGTCCTAATTGCAACGATAGAATGGAACTTTCGAATGATTTATATGTTCGAAGACATAATCCATTCATGTTCAGTACTGCAGTGAGAAACAGTATAACTGAATGTGAAAAAATAGTGAATGCAAATCAATTGGCAATTGATTTAGCAAATAAACAATTACCACAATTTTCCTTCTATACACCAAACAATAAAAATAATGCTCATGACACTAATCTGAACTATGCAGGCAATTATTTACAAAATTGGTTGAATGTACATTTAAACAATCCTGCTTTTATGAATGGAACATTATTAATTGTAACTTTTGATGAAGATAATAATAATCCCGATCGAAAAAATCACATACCAGCATTTATGTGGGGAAAAGATTATTTGTATTCTGGAGTTAGTGTACCAGGAACATTCAATCATTACTCACTTCCGAAACTCTTGGAGGAGAATTGGGGATTGGGTAATTTAGGTCGTAATGATGTTACAGCGCCTTCACTTATGGACATATGGCGACCAAATGTATATTCGAATAACACAAGTGTTGACATAACTAGTACACCTGTCAATAGTAGGGCTAGTTGTAATGAGATCGTTCGAAAGCTATCTATTGCCGCTTGTTATCTATTGATTGTAATAAGTATGAGTTGCTGATTCGAATTGATTTTTAATAAACTACTTCGTATTAGAACTGAGCTTAAGCAATTATTAGAGAGGCTTGATGAGAAACCATGGGTAAAGTTTTCGACCTATAATCGTATTTCCAATCTGATCATTTGGATGCTTTGTTTAACAGAAATGTCGATACTTTTCTTCGTTCTTCTTCTTTATTCTGAATAAAAGTCAAATAATATAAAATACAACGTGAAATCTTAAGAAAACGAACAAGTCCTTTTTTCCAATTCTGAATTATGCAATATACTTCATTTGTGCTGTTTGCGTTCTCAATTGTGAAATTCTTCCCACTCATGTTGCAACCTACCTACATTTTCAAGAAAGTGATCAAAAGTTGAAATAAATTTCCATGCCTTTCTTCATTGAAATTTCTCTAACTACATTAAGGAATGAGTATTTAAGAAGATCGGCGTTCAAGTTTGCTCTAGATCCTTGTATGAAGGAGGAAACTTCTAGCATCGAACTATCAGTATCAACTATACTCTAAAAAAAATTGGTTTATTACTGAACTCTACGAGGTTCGCATTTGGATACGGAACTCTTTTTTTTTTTGGTTCAAAAAAATTCGACGGGTTTAATATCTTTCATATCAAATCATTTCTAGCTTCAGAACAATAGCAAAGAGTTTCGCACTTTTCATACGAAACCATCATGCCTTCCTAGAATTAAAAAAAAAAGTTTCATATCTTCTTTACGGAACTCCATATGGTTTGGTAGAATAAGGAAAGGTTCTGTATAATTTGTAAAGAATCTTCAATGGTTTCGTCCGATACAAAATAGTTTCTTATTTTTTTCTACGAAACCTACTGTATGTGGTCGATATAGTGAAAGGTTTCGTAGAATGTAAGATGGTATCGTATTTTTCTTCCCGAGCTATTCTCGTACTTTGAGAAAAGAAAATAGTCCCGTATA